TCTGGCCTGCAAAGTTTCTGTTGACAAATCAGCTGACAGTTTTATGGGAGCTCCCTTGTAGGTAACTGACTGCCTTTCTCTTATTGCTTTTAAGAATCTCTCTTTGTCTTTAACCTTGGCCATGTTAATTATGATATGTCTTGGTGTGGGCCTCTTTGGGTTCATCTTGTTTAGGACTCTCTGCACTTCCAGGACTAGTATATCTGTTTCCTTCATCAAGTTAGGGAAGTTTTCTGTCATTATTTTTTCAAATAAGTTCTCGATTTCTTTCTCTCTCTCTCTCTCTCTCTCTCTCTCTCTCTCTCTCTCTCTCTCTCCTTCTGGTATCCCTATGATACAAATATTGTTACGCTTGATGCTGTTGCAGAAACTTCTTAAATTATGCTTGTTTTTCTAGATTCTTTTTTTTGCTCTAATTGGGTGTTTTCTACTACCTTGTTTTGCAAATCTGTGATTTGATCTTCTGCTTCAACTAGTCTGCTGTTGAATCCTTCTAGTGTATTCTTCATATCAGTTATTGTATTCTTCATTTCCATTTGCTTTTTTATGGTTTCTGTTTTTCTTTGTGCTGTTGAAGTTCTTACTGAGTTCTTTGAACATCCTTATAACCAGTTTTGAACTCTATATCTGGTAGTTTGCTTCTCTCCATTTCATTCATTTAGTTATTTTTCTGGAGATTTCTTTTGTTCTTCCATTTGGGAAATGTTTTTGTCTCCCCATTTTGGATTCCTCCCTGTGTTTGAGTCTATGTATTAGGTAGATCTGCTATGTCTCTCAGTCTTGGTAGAGTGGCCTTATGTACTAGGTGTCCTGTAGGGCCCAGTGGGGCAGCCTCCCCAGTCACCCAAGCTGAGCACTCCAGGTGCACTCTCCATGTGGGTTGTGTGCACCCTCCTATTGTAGTTGAGCCTTGATTGCTGTTGGCACATCAATGGGAGGGATTTACCCCAGGCCAACAGACAACAAGGACTGGCTGCAGAACTCACTTCAGCAGAAATCTGGTCCCCACTGAGTCAGCCCCTATAGTGTGTCACTGTGGGAGTGGTTTGGTAGTGTCCAGTGTGGTCTAAAGCTGTTCATGAGGTGCACTGGCTCTGGGGCCTACCTAGGAGTTTCAGGTCAAGGTCAGCTGCTTGACTTGGCCACTCAGAATGAGCTACATACAATCTGCAGATGGCTGCTACTTGTGTTGGGCTTGAAGGGTCCCAGTAGATGCCAAGCTGCAAATTGAGTCTAGCTGTCACTAGTGCAGTGTCTGTGACCACTTAGTAAGAGTTTCAGAGCACATGGAAGGCAGATGCTGCTTGTTTGGGGAGTGTGGATCTTTGAGAGATTTTAGGTAAGTTTGAAGAATGAGATAAGCCTGGCTGATTGTATGAAAATGCCATTTGGGATTGGCTAGGATGGTCCCACAAGTTGGGTTGGTTGGGGTCTGATGAAATCACCAGGGCTGAGTGAACAGTGTTAGCCAGGTTGATGGAGACTCAGATGTGGTGTCTGCCTGTACCTGTAGGGAGGGCTCAGCAAAGGAACAACGCCTCTGTCAGCCCTTCTGCCTGGGATAAAGCTGCTCCTCCAGCCCTCACCCTGAAGCCAGACTGTTCCGTTCCTCCCCGTATGTTGCCTGCACCTTTTGACCCACTGCCCCAGTGCTAGAGCTCAGAGTGAGTAAGTCCAAGTAAGTTCATACATGGACTCTTTGAGAGACACACATGGGACTCCAGAAGCCCTCTGTCTCACTCAGCCACAATTCCACTAGTTTTCACAGCCAGGAATAATGGTGACTTCTCTTCCTGGCACTGGAACCCTGAGCTGCCTCATTCCTCAGGGGGTAACCTTTGCAGCCAAAATACCCCTCCTGATTTTTAACCACCACACATGGGTGTGGGACCAGCCCATTCTGTGTTTCTGCCTCTCCTACCAGTCTCGATATGGCTTCTTCTGTATGTCCTTAGTTGAAGGACTTCTGTTCAGTACACTTAAGGAAGTTATGGATGGTTGCTCTATAGTTTAGTTGTAATTTTGATGTGGTTGTGGGAGGATGCTAGTACCACATTTACCTACTCTACCATCTAGACCAAAATCCAAATCAGCTCCTATTTAAAATAAAATATCTTCCCCATAAGCAAAATGATAGTCCTTTAGGGATGACTTTGGAGTTCTGTCCATTTTTTTCCTGATGCACATCAAAAGCTACGCCTTACAAAAGCCATGTTGGGGAATCTGCTCTAACTTAGTTCTCATTATAACCCTGAGAAGAAAATATTAGAATCTCCACTTAACAGATGAAATGCTGACGCGCTGGGGAATTTAGCACAGAAACCTCTCCCTGGGTCTCCCCTCCCTGTGCTGTCAGAGTTGAGACCTTACCAAGACCGCTCCTTCCTTCCCAGTCCTCTTTCCTTCCTGAACTTTCCTCCCTTCTCTACTTTGCCTCTTCCTGACCTGAGGGCTCAACTATACCTGCGATTCAGACTTTAAACAATTTCTTCCACAAAACTTCCTGATCCCCATGTCAGGGATCTCGGTGGGAATCCCAGGACCCCCCACCTAATCACATGGTGGCAGAAATCACAATGATATTGATGGACTACAGTCAGAAAGTAGCTCTATGTTTTTTCATTCCACCTTTGATATTCAGACTGACTGTTCTCTCTTCCCACTCAAAGAATTGTACATCTTTGGGCAGATTCTTTCTCGATTTATTCCTTCTCAAGCCACCTTATTTTCAGATATTAAGATGTTTAGTCATATTTAAATCTAAACTTAAATCTGGCTTAGAGCGGCTCCTCCTTCCCAGCCCAGCCTTCCACGGGGTGTGTTGTGTTTTTTTCCACCTCCCCAGTCTGTGTTTTTCTTCAGAGCCCTTGCTCATTTGCTCAAATGTAACCTGAGGACTATGTGCTAGATACTATTCTAGGTTCTTGGGCTACATTGATGAACAAAATAGGCAAAGAGCTCTATCCTCACATTAGGTTCTTAAAGGAAGGACACAGAGGCAAAAATAACATTAAAGAGTGATGACTATTAAGGAAAAAGTAGTGCTGGGTAATGGAGGAGGGTGCACCAGTTAGGAGGTGGGCCTCAATTTGAAGTAGGTGGTCAAGGTAAGCTTCATTGAGAAGGTGGCAAAACTCTTCGGCAAAAATTTAAAGGAGGAGCAGGAACCATCCGTAGACACGGGAGGAAACCTGTCTGAGAAGAGGAATAAGCAAGTGCAGAGACCCCGAGGCAAGTTGTGCCTCAGAGGAGTAGCGAGGCCAGGGGGCTGACGGGCAGTGAGCTGCAAAGGGACAGGACAGTCAGCCAGTGAGCGAAGGAGGCTGTGTGAAGACCTTGTAGGGCCTCGGATGATGTGCTAAATACTTTGGCATTTCTTTTGCATGAAATTGCCATTCACTACTGGATAGTGAGCAAAGATGTAACATGATCTGACCTCTGACCTACCCTCAACAGTGTCTAAAATGAACTTAATCATTGGACATGTTATTAGCTGTGTCACCTCCAAACTAGGAAGGATCTGCCTTGGTCACCTTTGTGTCCATTTGAGAGCAACAGTCAACAGATACATGTTGACTGATTTACAGGGAAGACAGTGTTCCGGGGCATATCCTGGGAAACTTGGCTCCAGGACTTTCAAACCAAATATGTCCATTTGCTCCCATTTCTTGGGGGACAAATGACTTTTCTTGAGTTTCCTTCCATCTGTGGGACCCTAGTGACTGTTCCCAGGACCACAATCCTCATTCCCCAAACCTACTGCATCCGTGTGATCAGCAGAAACACTCGGTGACCTCAGACCCTCATTCCATGCAGGTGTATGAATCTGAGTCCAAATGCAAGTGTCGGTTCTAAACTCAGTCACTGGGATTTACTGAACACCTACTCTGTACCATGCACAGCTAGAAGGGTTGGCATTGCCCCAAGTAAGGCTGGGGGCTGTCCACAGTTAATGATTAGCGTGCCCTCCCTGAGCTGTCTGCCTGGTAAGCTGTGCCCTCCTCGAAGGTGACAGGACTTCTCGAGCTGTCTGCTCAGGAGGAGGTGGAACAGGAGATCCCCAGAGACTTCCTGAAGGCCTTGCCAGGTGAGCACTGTTTCAGGGACTGGACTGTAGGGATCATGCCGCTCAATAGCACTAGCCAGTCTTTAGACGCCAGAGCTGTCCAGGAGAGTGAACGTCTTCAGGAAAGGCAGTCTCGAAGGGAGTGTCTGCCTGGTCTCAGTGGGGAGGCAGCACGGGGAAGCAGGCGTCTGCAGCACAGCAAACAGGGGGGAACGGCTGCCTGAGAAGGCCGTCCAAGGAGGGTGGGGCTGGGGAGGTGAGCCTGCCATGGAGAGAGAAGGAGCCAGCCATGGAGAGAGAGAAACTGTCAGAGACAGAAGCAGTAGCCACTCCCGCCAGAAGTTGGTAAGGAAATCTTCATTTCTGTTCTTTTAAAATATAAAAGCGGAGGCTCGAGTATAGAGATCTTGAACATTCTGGCTGCTGCTGGCCAGACAGTGGGGACTGGGAAAGAGCAACCGGGGGACTCCTGGCTGGACTCCTTAAATCAAGGCCGTTAGACTGAAGCTCTGCAGCCCCAGCATGGGACATGCGTTGGAATTCAGAAGCCTTCACGGCCTGGGACCACTTTCCCGAGCCGGTGCTGTAGTGAGAGCTAAAACGATGCTGCGCGCTGGGTGCCGTGTGCAGCTCAACGGAAGGAAACAGATACTGTCTGCAGTATCATTTGCTGTAGTAACAAACATCCAATGTCTCAGGAGCCTAGAGCCACATGTGTTTTCCCCGTGGGTCTGTGGACGGGCCGTGGCTGTGCTGAGCTCAACTCTATGTGTGACTATTCTGGACCAGGCGGAAGGGAGAGCACCCATCTGGGATGTTATATTCATGACGGGGAGCAGAAATGCAGGGGTTCCCGATCCACAACACCATCACACCCACTCACATCTCAAGGGCAAACCAAAGTCGGTGAGAGGGGGACACACACTCTTCCCAGATGCACTGGGCAAGTCACATGAAAATACATGGGGACATATGATTCCAAAACAGGGAGGGAGCACACTGCCGGGAGCAGTTCAGCCTGCCGCACCGCTGGTTTTAGCACTGCGGGATCTATGACATGGAACTGAGTGCTCTCAGAGCTGTCAGAAGTGCATGGGTGAGACCCCGGCTGCGTGCTGTGCTCCTGGAGAATGGCACAGCAGACTAAATGAGTGCCGATGCCGGTTCACTCAGACCCACCCAAGCGCATTGCTGGCAGAACCTGCACGGCCGGGATGCGTCTCTGCAGGCGGTGGGTGGCCAGTGGAGCAGTCTGTAACAGGAAAGACTCACCTCTGTCATCTTTCCTGCCCAGGTCTGGCCATGCGTCAGCTGCAGAAACTCCAGGGGCTTTTCATCCTACGGTGGACTCAAATGTCCTGTCGCACTGTCCACATTCCTACCAAGCAACTGACATCTCTGCAGTGGGGCCACCAGGAAGTCCCTGCCCAGTTTAACTTTGCCAGTGATGTGATGGATTACTGGGCTGGCATGGAGAAGGTAACGGGTCCGGGAGAGGCAGACTTGGACAATTGGGCTGAGTTTGCTCATTCATCCACACATTCAACATATGTTTTGAGCACATTGCGCGTCAGGTACTGTGATGAGCTGTGATGTTCCTCTCTCATGAGGGCAGCACGGGCAGGGGCAGGAGAGCAGGGACAGGAGAGGGGCCTGCAGGGGAACAATCTGGTACGTGGCTGGCAGCCAGCGCCTGGCCGGCCTGCTCATTCAGCACATGCTCTGTTGTGACTTCACAGCGGGAGAGCAGGGTGGGTGGGCTGGGCCGCAGAGGAGGCAGAAGGGATGTGATGAGAATGGGCACTGACCAAAGACTAAGCAGTCTTCTCAGAAAGGGGTGTGTCCCTGCCATTAGGAGCAAGCAGGGTGGTCACCAGGCAGACTGTCAAAAGGACTCCAACCTAAGGCATCAGAGAAAAGTGGTGAGGAGACTTCTGTTTCCTGCCCCACCCTAGGCTTCTAGAGCTCCGCCCGCATTGCTGAGCTGGCCATTGCCTTCCACCTGAGGCCCTGTGCCTTCTGGAGGACGAAAGGGCTCCTCCTGGTGGGGACCCGGCAAGAAGCAGCTCTGCCAGCAGGGCTGGGGAACCTTTTTTCTGCCAAGGGCTATTTGGACATTTATAGCATCATTCGTGGGCCATACAAAATTATCAACTTAAAAATTACCTGCTATACTTGGTCAGGCTCATTTGATGAGGTGTGTGATGTTAGCTAGTGTTGATTTCATGGCCTTATGCAGCCCATGGGCCAGATGTTTCCCACCCTGGGCCTTAAATGAATGACACCCAAAGGGAGTGAGGTCCTGACCCAACTAGAGTTCAGAGACTGCAAATGCCAGCGTCTGGGCTGAATGTGGCCCATGGTGCGAGGCATGTATCACATAAAATTTAGTCAATACTTTATTTTTATTTTTTATTTTTTTTTTTTTTTATTATGAATTTTTATTTATTTTTTTGTTACAGATATTTTACCTTTTGACCCCATTGGCACCCCCCACCCCCCCCTCCACCCCATCCCCGGCTTAGTTGTCCATGTCCATTGGTCATGCATACATGCATATAAGTTCTGTGGTTTATCTCTTCCCGCCCCCCCACCCCCCATCCCCTCTTCTGAGGGATGTCATTCTGTGCCCTACTTCCATGTGTCTGGGTCTACTGTATTCCTCAGACTGTCATGTTCATTATATTCCGTATATAAGTGAGATCATGTGGTATTTGTCTTTTTCTGCTTGGCTTCTTTCACTTAGGATAATACTTTCCAGGTCCCTCCATGTCGTCTCAAAGGATAAGAGATCTTTCTTTCTTACCGCTGCATAGTACTCCATTGTGTATATGTACCACAGCTATTTTATCCATTCGTCTACTGGTGGACACTTGGGCTGTTTCCAGATCTTAGCGATTGTAAATAGTGCTGCTATGAACATAGGGGTACATATATTCTTCCTGATTGGTGTTTCAGGCTTCTTAGGGTATATTCCCAGCAGTGGGATCACTGGGTCAAATGGAAGTTCAATTTTTAATATTTGAGGTAGCACCACATTGTTTTCCATAGCGGCTGCACCAGTCTGCATTCCCACCAGCAGTGTATTAGAGTCCCCTTTTCTCCACACCCTCGCCAACACTTGTTGTTTGATGATTTGTTGATGGCAGCCATTCTGACAGGTGTGAGGTGATACCTCATTGTTGTTTTAATTTGCATCTCTCTGATGATTAGTGATGTTGAGCATTTCTTCATATGTCTCTTGGCCATTTGTATGTCCTGTTTGGAGAGGTGTCTATTCAGCTCCTCTGCCCATTTTTTAATTGGATTCTTTGTCTTCCTTTTGTGGAGTTGTATGAGCACTCTATATATATTGGAAATTAACCCCGTATCTGATATATCATTGGCAATGATGTTCTCCCATACAAATGGAAAGAGTTGCCTTTCCATTTTGATGATTGTTTCTTTTGCTGTGCAGAAGCTTTTTAGTTTGATGTAGTCCCATGTGTTCATTTTCTCCTTTATTTCTGTTGCCTTAGGTGATGTATCAGTGAAAATTCTGCTCCGTATGATGTCCGAAATTTTGTTGCCTACATTTTCTTCTAGAATTTTTATGGATTCACGGGTCACATTTAAGTATTTTATCCATTTTGAGTTTATTTTTGTGTATGGTGTAAGTTGATGGTCTAGTTTCATTTTTTTGCATATAGCTGTCCAATTTTCCCAACAGCATTTATTAAAGAGGCTGTCTTTACTCCACTGTATGCTCTTGCCACCTTGGTCAAATATTAATTGAGCGTATTGCCTTGGGTCCATTTCTGGGTTTTCAGTTCTGTTCCACTGGTCTATATGCCTGTTCTTGTGCCAGTACCAGGCAGTTTTGGTTACAGTCGCTTTGTAGTATAACCTGATATCTGGTATTGTGATCCCACCTACTTTGTTCTTCTTTTTCAAGATTGCTGTGGCTATTCGGGGTCTTTTTTGGTTCCATATGAACTTTTGAAGTATTTGTTCTAGTTCTATGAAATATGTCGTTGGTATTTTGATGGGGATTGCATTGAATCTATAGATTGCTTTGGGTAGTATGGACATTTTAATGATGTTAATTCTTCCAATCCATGAACAGGGTATGTGCTTCCACTTTTTTATATCTTCCTCTATTTCTTTTTTCAATGACCTGTAGTTTTCTGCAAATAGGTCCTTTACTTCTTTGGTTAAGTTTATTCCTAGGTATCGTAATTTTTTTGGCGCGATGGTAAATGGGATTGTTTTTTCAGTTTCTCTTTGTGTGAGTTCATCATTGATGTACAAGAATGCCATCGATTTCTTGACATTAATTTTGTATCCTGCTACTTTGCCAAATTCATTTATTAAGTCTAATAGATTTTTGATGGAGTCTTTAGGGTTTTCTATGTACAATATCATGTCATCTGCAAATAATGACAGTTTCACTTTTCCAATTTGGATCCCTTTTATTTTTTCTTCATGTCTGATTGCTGTGGCTAAGACTTCCAGTACAATGTTAAATAAGAGTGGCGAAAGTGGACATCCCTGTCTTGTTCCTGTTCTTAATGGAAATGTTTTTAGTTTCTGTCCATTGAGTATGATGTTGGCTGTAGGTCTTTCATATATGGCCTTTATTATGTCGAGATATGATCCCTCTATTCCTACATTGCTGAGCGTTTTTATCAGAAATGGATGCTGGATTTTGTCAAATGCTTTTTCAGCATCTATTGATATGATCATGTGGTTTTTATTCTTCATTTTGTTTATGTGGTGTATCACGTTTATTGATTTGCGAATATTGTACCAGCCTTGCATCCCTGGAATGAATCCCACTTGGTCATGGTGAATAATTTTTTTGATGTATTTCTGGATCCGATTTGCTAATATTTTGTTCAGGATTTTGGCGTCTATGTTCATCAGGGATATTGGCCTGTAGTTTTCTTTTTTCGTAGTGTCTTTTTCTTGTTTTGGAATTAGAATTATGCTGGCCTCATAGAACGTGTTTGGAAGTCTTCCTTCTTCTTGAATTTTTTGAAATAGTTTGAGGAGAATGGGTGTTAGTTCTTTTTTGAATGTTCGGTAAAACTCCCCCGTGAAGCCATCTGGGCCTGGTCTTTTGTTTGCTGAGAGAGTCTTGATTAACTCTTCAATTTCCTTAGTTGTTATTGGTCCATTCAAGTTTTCTATCTCTTCCGGGAATAGTTTTGGGAGACTGTGTGTTTCTAGAAATTTGTCCATTTCGCTTAGATTGTCGAATTTGTTGCCATATAGTTGTTCATAGTAGTTGTTAATGATCTTTTGTATTTCCGTGGTGTTGGTTGTTACTTCTCCTCTTTCATTTCTGATTTTGTGTATTTGGGTTCTCTCTCTTTGTTTCTTGGTGAGTCTAGCTAAGGGTCCATCAATCTTGTTTATCTTTTCGAAAAACCAGCTCTTTGTTTCATTGATCCTTTGAATTGCTTTTTTGGTCTCTATGTCATTTATTTCTGCTCTGATCTTTACTATTTCCTTCCTTCTACTTGCTCTGGGGTTTTCTTTTTGTTTGCTTTCTAATTCTTTAAGTTGTAAGGTTAGAGAGTCAATTAGAAATTTTTCTTGTTTTTTGAGGTAGGCCTGTAGTGCTATGAACTTCCCTCTCAGAACTGCTTTCGCTGCATCCCATAGATTTTGTGTTGTTGTGTGTTCATTTTCATTGGTTTCCAGGAAGTTTTTAATTTCTTCCTTGATCTCCTCGGTGACCCATTCATTGTTTAATAACATGCTATTTAGCCTCCATGTGTTGAAATGTCTTTGCATGTTCTTGTTGCAATTGATTTCTAGTTTCATACCATTGTGATCTGAGAAGATGCTTGATATGATTTCAATCTTCTTGAACTTGTAGAGATTTAGTTTGTGTCCTATCATGTGGTCTATCTTTGAGAATGTCCCATGTGCACTTGAGAAGAATGTGTATTCTGTAGTTTTGGGGTGTAATTCTCTGTAGATCTCTATTAAATCCATTTGGTCTAGTGCTTCATTTAGAGTCTCTGTTTCCTTGCTTGTTTTTTGCCTAGAGGATCTATCCAGTGCTATCAACGGGGTGTTGAAGTCCCCTGCTATGATTTTATTGTTGTCAATTTCTCCTTGGAAGTCCTCCAGAAGATTTTTAATATATTTTGGTGCTCCTATATTGGGTGCATATATGTTTATCAAGGTTATATCTTCCTGTTGGATAGATCCTTTCAATATTATGTAGTGGCCGTCTTTGTCTCTAGTTATGGTCTTCATTTTGAAATCTATTTTATCAGATATGAGAATTGCTACCCCAGCTTTTTTTTTTTGCTTTCCATTTGCTTGAAAAATTTTTTTCCATCCCTTCACTTTCAACCTATGTGAGTCTTTTGTTGAGAGGTGGGTCTCTTGTAAACAACATATAGATGAGTCATGCTTTCTTATCCAATCAGCTACTCTGTGTCTCTTTATGGGAGCATTCAATCCATTTACGTTTAAGGTGA